TTTTTTGAAATTTTTTTTTTTTTTTTTTTTCACTCTTTTTTATTGTTTTTACAATGTTAATCACATTGTAAATATTCTGGGAAAAAAAAAAAATTATATACAAAGTTTCGTGAAAATTATAATTATTACCAAATTATTTATTATTAAAAAAAAAATTCATTATTATTATTAGATAATCGCATTAAGAATAGGCTTAATTTTAAAAAAATCATATCATTTTACATTTTGTGGAGTGTACGTGGGTATATTATATTCGACATTTCTTTGTAGTTGATTATATTCAAATATGGTCAAAGAGAGAAAAAGAGTTTAAAATGAATACTAAAACAATGATTGAATAGAATCATATTATTGATGACATAAAATAAAAAAAGTGGTCAGATGATCGTAAAATATATATACAGTATATATATATTTTTGTTTGTTTGAAATATTGCATATCTGCTATGACTTTTTCCCGATTCCCGAAATCCTTTTTACCATATTTTACATGAAATGATAGTATGAAAGAGTTTTTTAACTGTTTAAATTGATGGTCAGTTTTGGAAATTGATTATCAGAAACATTTTATCAATTTATTCAATATTTTATTCAATGAATACTTTTATATGATACCCATCATGCGATCAATCGAAAAGAATTTAATTAACGGTGGCTTAGACGCTTAGACACACGTAGAAAGAAAGTTTGTACATCACGTGTATTCGTTCTTATAAAGTAAGTATGTCTACTATTTTGAAAATTAAACTTTTTTTTCAAAATTTCTTTCTTGGGGTAAATCTGCATAGATACTGTATATCAAATGTATTATGTATAAATGATGTATCAATGTATCATGTATAATATGTATAGAGATGTAATAGTTTTAATAGAAGTTATGTACAGTATAATCTAACAAGTATATGTACTGTATGTATGCAAAAGCAAGCATTCGAATTTAAAAAGTTGCTGCGCCACGTGGGCAATATTTTCTTTTTTTTTTATTTAAGTTAACTGTTTTTAATCATCATTTATACGGCGACAATTCTTCATTCATTTAAGAAAGAAAGTTCAAAACTTTACCATTTATAGAAAAGATTAGATAAATGTTTCACATATGAAAAAAAAATAAAAAAATTACACTATCTATCTTAAAACGTAATCATCTTTTTTATACAAAGAAAACTTTAAATTATAAAAGTTAATCTATGAATCAATAATGATTAAATATTTATTATAATTCCTTGGTAAAACTTTACTATTTTCATTTATTGTTTCATGATAAATAATCAAATAATATCCCATTTGGTTTCATCTAAATATTCAAAAAAATTTTTTTTTTTTTTTTTAGGTAATTAAAATGAATGTTTAATTATGTATATACTATATGTCTATATGAGTATCGTACAATAATAGTAGTTATAAATATTACGGCATAATATACGATAATCAATTTATGATTAGAAAAAAAAAAAAATATTACTTTAGAAGAAATCTTTCAAATATTTAAATATTTTAAATATTTTGGATTTTTTTTTTTTAGCCCAAAAAAATGAATTTACTTTTTTACGTTATCAATTATTTTAAATGACTTATACTTTATAATTTTTTTCTTATAAAAATGTGATTCACGTGAAATATTTCCCGTTCAAAAATTCTTCCTTTTCATCGATTATTAGAATCCCAACGAACATAATATTAATTTTATCCGTGTGACTATCTGTGACTATCTGTGTGACTATCCGTGTGACTATCCATGTGACACATAATTTTACTAATATCCGATAAGTACCAAATAATTATCAAAATTATGTGTAATAATAATAATAATATTTTATTTTTTTTATTTTCTAAAACAAACAAATACAATAACTTTTTTTATATTAATTTATTTGGATTGGATAAATCGGATAAATCGGACAAGGAAATCAAAGAAATTATGAATTACCATATTTTGATATTTTAATATCGGGTTAAAGATGATTAATTAAATGTTTGTTCCTCCATTTTAGAAATAATAAATTATTTTTTTTTTTTCTGTTTAGAAAAAATTGTTATACCTAATGATAAATTATGAAACATTATCAGTTATTATTGTTGGTATGAATTACCTTGTTTAGTCAACGTAAAAAAACGTTTGATTTAACTGCGTTTTTAATTCCGTAGATCATACAATCGTACATAATTGAATTTGTTTTGCAAATATGCATTAAAAATAAAGGAGTACAAAAAATTTGTAATAGACAATGAAAAAAATTGAAAACACAAATTAAAATGTCGGAATTAACCGTTCATTTCCAATTATTTCAAATGCTTTGATAATTTAACCCCCCATTTTTTTTACTTCTAGAAATTTGTTGTGAAACATTACAGACATTATTATTTTTTTTTTTTGATTATGAACGCCTTAATATTATATTCCAATAAACCAATCATATTTATTATAATGACCTAATTGACCTATGAAATGAAAAATTGTTACTATTTGGAACGTGGTGAATAAACATGGTGATATAATAGGTTAGTAAAAACTTCAAATTATTATTTGGATTTTGTTTCCATAATATTTTGTTTCATGTTATGATTAAAGTTTAGTTAGTTTGGTTGTTACTTTTTAGCGATGTAATACTTTTAGCGATGTAATACTTTTAGTGATGTAATACTTTAGCGATGTAATACTTTTGGCGATGTAATACTTTTAGTGATGTAATACTTTTAGTGATGTAATACTTTTAGCGATTTAGTACTTTTTAGCGATGTAATACTTTTAGCGATGTAATACTTTAGCGATGCATACTTTTAGCGATGTAATACTTTTAGCGATGTTACTTTTTAGCGATTTAGTACTTTTTAGCGATGTAATACTTTTAGCGATGTAATACTTTTAGCGATGTTACTTTTTAGCGATTTAGTACTTTTTAGCGATGTAATACTTTCAGTGATGTAATACTTTTAGCGATTAGTACTTATTAGCGATGTAATACTTTTAGCGATGTAATACTTTAGCGATGCATACTTTTAGCGATGTAATACTTTTAGCGATGTTACTTTTTAGCGATTTAGTACTTTTTAGCGATGTAATAGTACTTTTAGCGATGTAATACTTTAGCGATGCATACTTTTAGCGATGTAATATTTTTAGCGATGTAATACTTTTTAGCGATTTAGTACTTTTTAGCGATTTAATTCTTTTAGCGATATATTGATGTAATCATATTTCAATCAAACTAACGCGTCCGTGTTAAATTAAATTACCGTACCGTATCAGCATAAGATACCTTGGTATAATACAAAATACTTGATTTAAAAATTATATAATACCCATACATGGGTATTTGTGAGATACATATTACAATATTACATGGCCAAAATTAGCCTAATTCTACTAGAATTAAAATTACGTGGGGTATTCTCAAAGGAGGGTACTACGGTACGATACACATTTTCGTGAATATATTAAAGAGTTTAAATTAAAATTGTTAATTATCTAATATCTAATATATTTTTTTAATCGAAAGTGTTTGGTACTTATACATTACAAGTAAGAATATAACGCGCAGAATAATCATGTAGCTGATGTAGTATTTAGAGTATGTAAAAGTTATAAATAAATTTTATCCAGTTTAATGGCATCACGGCCAGAATTAACGAAATTTTAACTCTGATAAAAATTGATTCGGGTTGTTAAATATTCTATTTACACAAGCCATTTTTTTCAAATTAAAGGATCGAATGAGGACCTCGAACAATATATAAATAGGTACTATTAGCTTTACGCATCTCTTCAGGGCCAGAATTATGTAATTCCGCCTGGAATTATACAAAAAAGGAAAGATCTATGCATTATTCTAGCATTCTACGACGGCGTTTTGACTTGACTTTTCTTTTTTCAAAGTATAGAAAAATCCAAAGATGAGGCCTAACGACTGGCAGCTTCATAGCGAATATGGCTACTTTACCTTGTTCTGAATTTTACCAAATATTGCCGATGTCTCTTGACACATAATTTTGTGTAATAAACTAAACATTGAGTCATTGAGTCATCTAAAAATCCCTTTACTTAAAATCTATATTGATTTGATTTTACTCTGATACTCAAACTCCACTCCGTGGGATGTATGACATAATTTTTTGTACTCTAACTATAGCTAACAAATTTATAATTTATATATAATAAACTAAACATTTGTTAAATGTAAAAATAATATATTTCTAATATATAAATCACGTCTCAATCGTCTCATGTATAAAAGTGTGCTCATGTATACATGATCAATAATCATGACATCTAAAAATTTTTTTACTGAAAAATCTATATTTATTTGCAAACTCCCTTTGTATGACTCAAAAATAATATATTTCTAATATAAAAATCGCGTCGTCTCATGTATAAAAGCGCGTTATGCATGATCTCATGTATACATGATCAATAATATCAATAATCATGAGTCATTGAGTCATCTAAAAATTCTTTTACTAAAAAAATCTATATTTATTTGCAAACTCCCTTTGTATGACTCAAAAATAATATATTTCTAATATATAAATCGCGTCTCAACTCTCAAAGCGTGTTATAATAATGAGTCATGACGCAAAATTTTTTATACTCTGATACTCTGAGATATTCTGACTATAGAAAACTCCGTGGGAAAAAAATCTTTTGTATGACATGATTTTTTATATAAAATACCTTTCCATTCCATCCAAAAAAAAATTTAAAAAGAATTCCATCCTCTCTCTTTTGTCCCGTTCCTTCTCCTTCCCACCTCATTTTTATCATTTCCAAATAACCTATCCTCTCTTTTTATTTCTTCTCTCTTTAGTCTTTCCTTTAACAATGAATATAATTGGTATGTATATATATATATTTTTTTATGTAATATAAATTTATGTTCGTCTCAAACTGATAAAAATTATTTACATATATTTCTTTTAAAATTTTATAGATTATTCATTAACTTCGTCTGAGATTCCTTACGATAATTATTGCTATTATCCAATAACTTCAGATTTGTCAACAATTTCAGATGCATCAATCTCATCAATTTCAAATGCATTAAGCAATAATAACAATTCATCTGAGATTCCTTACGATAATTATCCAATAACTTCAGATTTGTCAACAATAATTTCAAATGCATTTAGTGATAATAATAATTCATCTGAGATTCCTTATGATAATTATCCGATGACTTCAGATTTGTCAACAATAATTTCAAATGCATTTAGTGATAATAATAATTCATCTGAGATTCCTTATGATAATTGTTATTATCCGATAACTTCAGATTTGTCAACAATTTCAGATGCATCAATTTCATCAATTTCAAATGCATTAAGCAATAATAACAATTCATCTGAGATTCCTTACGATAATTATCCGATAACTTCAGATTTGTCAACAATTTCAGATGCATCAATTTCAGATGTATCAATTTCAGATGTATCAATTTCATCAATTTCAAATGCATTAAGCGATAGTAACAATTCATCTGAGATTCCTTATGATAATTATTGTTATTATCCTATAACTTCAGATTTGTCAACAATTTCAGATGCATCAATTTCAGATGTAGATTTGTCAACAATTTCAGATTCATTAAGCGATAATAACAATTTATCTGAGATTCATTACGATAATTATCCAATAACTTCAGATTTGTCAACAATTTCAGATGCATCAATTTCAGATGTAGTTTTGCCAACAATTTCAGATGTATCAATTTCATCAATTTCAAATGCATTAAGCGATAATAACAATTTATCTGAGATTCATTACGATAATTATCTGATAACTTCAGATTTGTCAACGATTTCAGATGCATCAATTTCAGATGTATCATTTTCAAATGCATCAATCTCAGATGCATCAATTTCGGATGGTATGTTTAAAAAGTTTTATAATTTATCTTATAATACATTATTAAATTATTATTTTTTCTTTTTATTCACAGAACAACCTATAGTTCGGTCAAGCCATCCTACAGATCGTAAACACAAGATTCGAATCTTTACCTTGGAAAGTTTAACCGATTTGCTTAATGGTGTCCGAATTTCCTTTGATGGAAATCATAACGATATGACACAGTCATGGTCTCAAGAAGAGTTGAATGTTCGACGAAGAGTGGTTCAATTTTTTAAAACTAGAGCAAAAAAACGAATTATGGCTTCTTTTAAAGCTGTTGATCCAATTGAACAGCCTAAGAATGGTATTTTTGTTTCCTGCCTTTATTGGTATGATAAGAAAACACAATGTGATAAATGGTATTTCACTTCAACGGATTACATAAATTTACTTGAAAGTCTAACAGGAATTAGACTTACTTCAGATGAAAAGAATCGAATTCGTCGTAATCTTGAAGAATATAGACCAATAACGGTTGGTAAAAATAAGAATGATAGTGATGAAATATATAAAGATTTGATGTCCTATTCATTTGCAAAACCAAGAAATGCGGAAAAGGACATCAAACTTTATGAATGGAGGCACCTGTTACATGCCGTAGAAAAAATTATTAACAAATATGGTAAAAAAAAATAATAATAATTTAAGCCTTTTAATATAATCTATTTCTTGTTACTTTATCGTAATATAAAAATATATATATTATATAATTATATAATGTTCTAAACCTAAATATAAAAATATTAATAAAAATATTAAAGTATTTATTTATGTTTTTTTAACGAAGTCATTTTATTTACTTTATTAGGAAATTAAGAAAAATTACAAAAAAGGAAAAAATCTACATTATATAACATTTAGTAAAGAACACGTTCGATTATTAGGGACTTCGGTAATGTTATATAAGAACCCGCCAACAACACTTTTACTACTAAAAATAATAATAAAAATAAAACTACGAAACACTACCGTGTTACCTCCAAAATAAATCTTATTTTTTGATATTCGGTTTTTTTCAATAATTAAGTTTATTACACCGCATTTTCCAAGAAATCATAGATTTTTTTAAAATAAAACTTTTTAAAATTGAAAATACCTAACGATATTCATAGTAGGGCATCCAGGTAGTGGTTTTTTACTGTTGTTACTTGTTACATTGTCATGACTTCATGTGCCGGACGGTGAATCATGAACTAATTATTATTTTGAGCTATATTTTTTTTATCATGTTTGTTTACGTATCATAACATTTATTTTCAAGGAATAGTATTATAGATTTAACCCTTATTAATTTTTTTAAGGCTATGATATCTTTATTTTTACTTCCTAATATTCCTTACATCTAGAGTATTTGGCTTTCAAGGCAATACCCATAAAATTTTTTAATATTATGTGTATTTGTGAGTATAACAGGATTTTTTTAATTTATAATAATCATTTATCGTCAAATTTTATAGAACAGAGAAAATTACTATTGAATGATGTAACACTAACGCCGATGCATCTATCACAATCCAAAGCGAAATAATTCAATTATAATGATTTTGTACATCTATATATTAAGTTTTATTTGCGAAAATATTCAATTTATACCCAATTTTATTGGAGAAAGTTCTGATAAATATGCTTTTTAAAATTTTTTAAAAATTAAACTTTTATTTTTCTAACATTTTATGTAAAAATTGACTACCTAATTATTGACGGTTATATACTAATTTTCGCCCCTAGTTCCATTGATTCTGGCAATGTCTTCTGCCGTTATAATATGGAATCCGAGCTAATTTCACATCGGATCCAATGGGACTACTTAATTATCATGTTTAATGCAGATCAGTGCATCGGAAAAATATAGCTCGAAAAAATTTTTTTTTTTTATTGAAACTTCTACTTTTGGTTAAAATATTCCTTATTCATGACATGCATAGTACAAATAAAATTTAAAAGAAAATAATTTTTTTTTCCAGTAAAATAAATCTTTAAAATAAACCAAATGGAAACTACTAATACAACAGATACAGTAAGCAGCAAAATTGTTTATATTACAATAAACCTTTTACTAAGGAATTATGGTATAAAATATGTATTAATTCTTTAGAAAAATTAGCAGAAAATAGTGATAATGAAGAAGCAATGTTTAATTTAGCTAATAGATATTATAATGGAGAAGAAACAGAAAAGAATTTAGAAAAAGCCTTTCATTGGTATCAAAAATCAGCAGAAAATGGTAAAGAAAATGCAATGTTTAATTTAGCCATATATTATGAAAATGGAGAAGGAACGGAAAAGGATTTAGAAAAAGCCTTTCATTGGTATCAAAAAGCAGCAGAAAATGGTCATATTAATGCAATGAATTATTTGTCTATATGTTATCACAATGGAGAAGGAATAGAAAAGGATTTAGAAAAAGCCATTTATTGGTATCAAGAAGCAGCTGAAAATGGTAATATATGTGCGATGAATTATTTAGCTGAAATTTATAAAGATGGAAAAGTAACGAAAAGAATTTTAATAAAACCCTTTATTTGGTACCAAAAAGCAATTGAAACTGCAGAAAATAATTCTAAAACTAATAATGAGACTTGTATTTATCATGATTTAAGTGGAAAGACAAAACTAATTAAGCTAATGAAAAGATTTATAATTGAATTAGAAGAAGAGAATTATAATGAATGTTATGAATGCCATATGAAAAGAAGACCTTCAAAAAAGAATCAACAAATATGTATAATTTGTTAAGCAAAATTATTATATAAACAAAGTGGAAATGAAATTATTGACGAATTCATCAAATTTACACAAATTAATTTTATTCAAGAATCTAGCAGAATGAAATTTATTTCTTATGATCGATTTAAAAACATAGAATTTATTAAAGCAGGAGGATTTAGTAAAATTTATAAAGCTACATGGATTGATGGTCCACATAGTTGGAATGAAGAAAAAGAAGATTTTGAATATGAAGAACCTAATATAATAGTTGCTTTAAAACAACTTAATAACTCTGAAAATATTTCATTTGAAGAGTTAAAAGAGGTAAGCAAATTATTTTATTTTGATTTTAACAATAATCTATTTTTTTTAATATAATAAGAAAAACTTACATTAATTTTATAATTTCAGCTTTTAATGATTTATAATGCTGATATAAATAATAATTTCTTTAATTCTTCACTTTATTTAAATGAATATTATGGAATCACTCAAAATCCCGATACTAAAGATTTTATTATAATTATGAAATATTATAAATTTGATTTGAGAAATTATATAACAAAAAGTAAAGACTTTTATAATATTGAATGGAATAAAAAATTAAAAATACTCAGAAATATTGCCGAAGGACTTAAACATCTTCATAATCAAGGTATTATTCATCGAGATTTGCATAGTGGAAATATTCTTTGTGAAAATGAAGATGATGTAGTAATAAGTGATTTAGGAATTAGTAAATCAGCAATGGGATCCACAAATTAGAGTTTCGATCCGTAGCGGTTTTATCCGGTTTTTATCCGGATACCGGCTCGGCTAATTTAGGCTGGGACCACCAAAATTAATAAAAATATATGGAATAATATTATTTTAATTCTGGCCGAAATTATAGTCCACTCAAAGCCGAAATTTGTAACCTTTTTTAATCATAATCCCACGTTAAAATATTTAAGGTTTTATCCGGATCGAAACACTACCACAAATGATAATGAAAGTGTATATGGTATTATTCTATATATGGCTCCAGAGATCTTACAAAGAAAAGAATATACTATATTTTCAGATATTTACAGTTTTGGTATGATCATGTGGGAACTTATGACAGGTAGATTACCATTTGAGGATCAAACTATAGATGTTGGACTTATGAGTAAAATATGTCATGATGGTCTTCTCCCTCCAATAACAACTAATGCACCTAAGGATTATATTGAACTGATGCAAGAATGCTGGAATTCTGATCTAATTAAAAGACCAGAAGCTGCTAATATAAGTAAAAAGTTATGTAATATATTAAATGAAGAAGTTAGTAATCCAACAGAAATTATAAAATCGACAGATATTGCTCCTATAGATAATCTAAAAAGTAAACAATCGAGCAATGAACCATTTACAATAAGTTCAAAAAAACTAGGTAATTAACCTGATTTACTAATTAAAATCGTTTTTTTATACCATTAAATTCAGTACTTTTTGTTTAATTATTTAGAGCTACTTGAATTTATTACTTTTTAGGATATTGCTATAAAACGAAAGCAAATGAATTTGAAATTGATATTTAAAAGGTAAATTTTGAATTAGTAGACTTATTATTTATTTATTTCATTTATTTACCTCCCCCGTATCAAAAAATAATAAAATTTTTTATATTTTTCTTTAAATTCATTGAATTTTTACGTATTGTTGAATTTTTATATAACGTATTGTATATCTTAAATAAATGTAAATGTATTTATTAAATATATATATAACACTATATTCTGTTATAAAATTACCTATTATACTATTATAATAATTATTTAAAATGCAAAACCATGATTACTAAAAAGTATTTGTTTAAAAATCACGAGAAGGCAGTAAAAGACTTTCTTATAGTGCTTCGATCCGGATGAAAACTTGAATATTTTCATGTGACGATTATGGCTGAGAAAGATTATGAATTTCAGATTTAAACAGACTATAATTTAAACCAACATTAAAGTATTATTATCCCAAAAATTTATACTAATTCTGGCCAAACTCATAGTGCCAGCGAAATTTAATGAAATTCAATCTGGATGAGAATCCGGATAAAACCGCTACGGATCGAAGCACTACTTTCTTATACCTATATATGTTTAAAATGGTATTATACCAAATGCATTTATTTTATTTAGGATGAAAGTTTTCAGATGAACAATTCGAATATTTCATCTCGAGAAATTCAAATTAAGACAGTACCTTATTAATTGAAGGCTAATGAAATGAAACGAAATTACGCACCTATTCGTAAATATAAAAAAGTCTTTCATCTAAATATAATTTATATAGTAAAATTAATTTTTTTATGAAATAAACGCAAATGATACCATTTTATAGTTGTATAATTGAATTACTGATCAATTCGTTATAATCTTTTTCCTTAATGTTATAATTTAACATACTTGTTTCAATTTCTCATAATAATATTGGATCATTTTATTCCGGAAGAACTGCAAATTTCAAATAAATGTTTTAATGGATTTGAGAAAAATCAATATTAAAAAATTTATTTACTTCAAAAACTTATTTTTACAATCGAGAATTATATTTAAACATATCAAAGTATAAATACGCCGCGCACCATTAATTTTTAAATTTTATTTATGAAAATTAATCCATTAAATAAAAGAAAAGGTGAGGTGATCGACTGATCGTTGAATTACATCACATGACTTTACATAATGTGCATATAAAATTTGAAAAAAAGGGGTTTTCTTTTCTTTCAGAAAGGTTATGCTTTTCATTTCAGAAAGGTTATGTCTTCATTTCTTTCAGAATATTATCTTCTCTCATGTTTTTCACCATAGTGGTGAGTTTGTGTTACTGATAGCGGTTAGTATAACACTATAATTATATTTTGTATGATGTAATGCTTGATTGAAAAGTTCGTCGATTATACAAAAAATTGAGCGTAATAATAATCAGTTTATTTTATTTACCGGATAGTAAAGCGTCAGAACTATATAATGGAAGGGGTCTTGTTGGGTAATGGACATTTGCGCGCATGCTTCTGATAGTGATCTTAGTGTATAAAGTGGCACGGAAGCGTAAAATTCGTCAATTACAAAAAATTGGGCGCAGATAGTAAGACGTCAGAATTATATGATGGAAGGGTCTACATACGGAATAAAGTATATTTTTTTCGTGTGCGGAAAAGTATTTTCACTATAACTTAAATACTATAAAATAGTTTAAACAAATAATTCCATCAACATATTCTTTACAATATTCCGACACTAATAGTGAGATGATCGAGTGCGAAAAAAACTGTAACTTATGCGGAAATTTGAAGATAAGTTCGAAATATAATATCAAACTTACGCTATGTTCTTCTTGCTATTTAATAACTTCCGGATGGGTAGAATTAGCGTTGACTAAAGTTCATATTCCAATTCTTTATTTACCATGGTGGGATGCTTCTGATCTATGTATCGTATGTGATAAAGTGTTAGAATTTAAACCCGAACGTCAAAGTTGGTGTTTACATTGTTATATAAATTACACAGGATGTAGATATCGTTTAACAACAAATATTATTTCGGGATTACAAATCAATCTCAGTGAAGGAATGTAAAAGAATAACATACATAACTTTTGATACGTCAAGTATTAATAGTGGAAACATATACATAGAAGAATTTCTTATTTCCACAAGATTAAATATTATTAATAACGATCAGGTTATTAATTACATAAATAATATTTGCAGATTGTAATCCGTTGGATAAGTATAATAATATTAAATATGAACTTAAGAATGCTTTATCAAAACCAATAATGGAATGGATATCATATTCTCAAATTCCAAATTGCTTAAAAATATGATGATTTTTTAAGAATTAGAGAAAAAAAAAAACCGTGGCTATAAAAAGGTTTTTAAACTCACAAAATATACCCAAATATTTTTTAGATGAGGTAAACTAAGTTTTTCATTTATTTCTTCGCTCCGATAATATTGCATATTTTTATTGACCTAATTATATATATACATTTTTTTTAGCTAAAATCACTTTACCAATGTTACAATAAATTTGATCGTGTAATTAGATATTACGGTATTACAAGAGATCCTAGAACGAAAGAATATATGTTAATAATGGGATATGCGTCAGGTGGTGATTTACATGGTTATTTACAAAAAAATCTTAAGGATGTAGCTTTATATCTTATGGCAAATTTCAGCCGGGTAAGATATAATATATAGTAAATATGGTAATTATTATTCTAGTATAGTTAAAAATTAATTGATTTTTTTTTTTTTTAGACTTCATACTATTCATGAGAATAATTTTATACATCGAGATTGTCATAGCGGAAATATATTGTTAGAAACTGAATCATTTGAAATAATGAAATATACGAAGTAATAGCCTACATCGCACCAGAAGTATTCCAGGGTCTCGCATTTCGAAGAAATCTGATATATATAGTATGGGTATGATTATGTGGGAACTTACGACGGGATGTAAGCCTTTGATAATATCGAGCATGATACGGAACATGTCTATAGAATTATTGATGGAGAAAGACCTCAAGTTACAGATGATACTCCTGTTTGTTATGTTAATCTAATGAAAAGATGTTGGAATTCTGATCCTTCAGAAAGACCTTCTGCAAAAGAAATTCTTGAAACTACTTATGCGTGGACATTTTCACAAGATTGTGAAATTTCAATCAAGCTGAAGTAAAAAGATTAAAATCAATAGAATTAAAGAAGCTTGGTCTGAATATACAAGTAGATCATTGAACCCCTTTATTTCATCGTCTCTGATAAGTCTACAAGGTGCGTATTATGTATGTACTACTTGTATCTTCTAAAAGCATGAAATCTTCAATAATAAATAAAAGAATTATTTTTTTATTTAGAATATATCTCGAAAGAATACGAGTATGACATAAATATTATTTAGTTTAAGGAAGTATCGGACCAAAATTCCGATATTTCCATAATAATAAAACTCTTTTTTTGACTATATTTTTGAAGTAAAAAAAAAAGAAAATATTCAAATAAAAATTTTCAAAATCCAATAAACAAATTCAATTTTGATAAATGGAAAGATGTAACTTCATACCTCCATATTGATATGAATATAATAAAAGTTTCTTTTTACCAAAAGTTAAATTCAAATTAATGATTTGATGATTTTCCTTTGTTGAAATCAGTATAATCTTAATATTTTCAACAATATATTCTGAGCACGCATTCATTTGAAAACCTATCATTGCTAGATTATATCCATTACATAACATATTTTTTGATAAGTAAAAGTGAGATTAATAAGAAAAAGCTGACGGAGATCAAGGTTCGCCCTACGGTCAACTATGTTGTCATTAAAAATTAGAATATGCAATTAAGAAATACGTAACAGACAGTGTGTATATATTTCGAATAATAATTGAAGGGTTGTATTACATACTGTATATGTTAAAACATATAGTTGGGAAACTTCACTTCCGTGCAAATAATTTAAAATTAGGAGAAAGTGTGATTAATGAAGCGCTAATTTTATAATACCGGTCAAAATTACGAAATAAATCATGTGATAAATAAATTGGGCTGGTATTACTAATTTTGCCCGAATTACTGATTCGATATACTGTAATTAAAATTAATAACTAAAATAATGCTGACTCTTAAGTCGGTTGTAACGGCAGACGAGCGACCCGCTATAATTCTACATGAAGTTAAAAGGATTCATATTACTAGTTTTGAAAATTAGGAATCGATTGATGTGATAAATGTGACTCACGATCGATAAACCCCTATAAATATTAGTAATGACTCATGAGGATTTTCAATATTAAACTTTTTTTTACATTTTTTTTTACATTTTTTTTCTTTTTTTAAAAAAAATTGATTTTTTTTTATCAAGATCAGATTTTTTTTTATCAAGATTCAAGATTTTATTTCCTTTATGAAACAAATCTTGTAACTGATTAATGAGATGATATTTTAGGAGAAATGATTCTGTAGTGATTACGCAATTTATAAATAAAAAAGTTTTTTAATTTGATGGTAGTTTGGTAGTTTAATAAAAAAAACCGCTTCCAGATCTAATACATTAGAAAATTAGGATATACCCCTATAAATATTAGTAATGACTAATGACTCATGAANGTAAATTACAAGTTGCTTATTTATAATTTAATAAGCTACCTATAACTTTTACAAACTTTTACCTAAAAGTTGCTTATCGAAAAAAGTTAAGTTACCTTAAAGGTAACCTAATTGTATTATTTAAACTTAAATTTACATCTACTAATAGACGGCATTTAGGTAATTAGTAGGTAACCTAGCAGTATTAAATTCTTAGGTTTCAGCAAAGCAGTGACTTAATTGTTAATTACTCAGCATACATGCATACTAAATAAATGATTTTATATTTATTTGAAAGTTCAGAACTTGCTCTATTTTATAAATCAAAGATCATTCATATTGAATTATTACATATAGAGATATTAATAATCAAATTCAAAAATAAAAAATAAATGTATTGAATATATTTATTTAGCAACTAGTAATTCAAATTTTGTGATTTTGGGTTCATTAGATAAATTTTGACATTCTCTTTCAAATAAATATAAATTAATTTGTCTAGCATATATACACGTTAAGTTATTTGCATTTTTGTTACAAGAATTCTGTTCTGATTTTTAATTTTTATATTAAAAATAAAAATATGTAACTAATTGACATTTTTTGCATTGGCTGGTATAGATATATCATTTTTATGTGATTTGGTTATAATATGGTTGGGATTTTATAATCTAAATTTGTTTATAAAATTTATTTTTTTGGCTTAAAAACCTAATTTCAAAAATTGGCTAATATAATTGAATTTTATAATTTTTATTAAGAAAAAAAATTTTTTTTTAATTAATTAAACTGAAATTTATTTATTTATTTTTATTATTTTTATTATTTTTTTCAATTTGTTTAAACTGAAACTTTATATTTTTTTTATTTTTTCAATTTATTTAAACTGAAATTTTATATTTTTTTTTATTTTTTCAGTTTATTTAAACTAAAATTTTACATTTTTTATTTTTTAGTTTGTTTAAAGTTTAAACTAAAATTTCTTTTTGTTTTTTTTTTATATAAATACTTTATTTATTTTTTAAATATACTTTTTTTTGTAAAACTGACAAATGAAATAACTGAATAGGTAAATGAAAATGGATAATATGTATTAATTAAGAAACATTTTTAACATTTTTTTTCTTTTATAAATATTGGACTTTTGTAATTAAAACATTTTCTAATGTTTTTTATCTTTTATTATAAAGATATCAGATTTTTGACTCTTAAGGTTGACTAGATTTTATGATATTGATGAGATAAGAAGAAGTGGTATTTTTTTAATTTATTTTATGAAATATTTTCTAATATTTTCTTTTTCTTTTATTATAAGAATACCAATCTAAAAAAAGAAAAAACTTTGAAATTGCAAATAAAAAGTAAAAATTTCATGTTTTTATTATTTTTATATTACTTTATTTTATTTGAGAATATTATTAATACTTTTTTTAAAAAAATATTAAACTTTTTTTTTTTTTTAAAAAAGAGATTTTTTTTTATCAAGATTCAAGATTTTATGTGTCATTATTTCCTTTATGAAACAATATAGTAAAATATATAAAAAAATCTTGATCTTGTAATTTTGATTATCAAATCATGATGTGTCATGTAAACTATAACATCGAAGTTCCCATATCATCTACTGTGTAAAAGGTTTTTTAAAAAGTATAAATATACCCAAACTCCCTCAAATTTCTCAATACTTCATTTTTCATTTTTCATTTTTTTATCAAAAACTTCAAATATTTATATTCATATAACAAACTCATGAACTCACGAAACTCAGAGAAATTAAACTCTGTCTCTTATACACATCTAGATGTGTATAAGAGACAGGTGTAAAAGGTTTTTTAAAAAGTATAAATATACCCAAACTCCCTCAAATTTCTCAATACTTCATTTTTCATTTTTCATTTTTTTATCAAAAACTTCAAATATTTATATTCATATAACAAACTCATGAACTCACGAAACTCAGAGAAATTAAACTCGTACTTTATGGAAAAATATATTTAATATGAAATTTTTCCTTTTACGAACTTTCTCTTCGATAAGTAACTTGTCAAATGAAACCAATAAACAAAAATATCTTTTACCAGATAGGTTCTTAAGGTCTACTTTTGTTTTTTGATATTAGAAAAAAATACATTTTATTATTTTATGGAAAAATATATTCAATATTTTTATTTTTTTTATTTCCAGGCAAGACTTGGTTGGCAATGAAATAACACAAAACAATACAAATCAATACTCAAACTCAACATTTAAGGTTTATGTTACAAAGGTTGAAAATAAAGAATATAATCTTGAATTTTCTACCGAAAATGAAAGAATGTAATATGGTATGGATTGTATTTACGAATTAAGATTTACAGTAGATCAATATTAAGGTAAGCATGCGCTCCCTGCTTGCATAGTTTTAATGATACAGGCTTACAGATAAAAAAAGTTGAAAGGGAGTATATATGAGAAACTGGCTTTCCTGGAGGAGGGTTAGCCTATGCACCTGGCTCGTATGCATGGTGTCATATTGTTAGTGGTATCAAAGGACCATTACAGTAGGGGTTTAAAAAAAAAGTGACAAAAAATAAAAGAAAAAAATATATAAAAAAAAGTGAAAAAAAAATGAAGATGAAAAATAAAAAAAAAAATAGAAAATAAAGAAAACAAATATAAAAGAAAAAAGAAAAAAGGTGAAAAAAATTGAAAATAAAAAAAATGAAAAGAAATGAAAAGAAATGAAAAAAAAGAAAAAAATTAAAAAAAAACAAAAAAAAAAATCTTTATTGTGCAAGTTCTAGGGTGTCCACTTGAGTAGTATGATACCATCACCTTTCTGGAGACTTTTTTTTTACGCGTATGGTGGTGGTTGATTTTTTCTTCCACCTGGTACCAGCCATACTAACGACTTTTTTTTCTTTTTGTTTATAGATTCCATTTATTGTACTTGTAATTAAAGAAGAATAGTTGAAATTCATGGTAGACCATAATCTATTTATAAGGTAAGCATGCGCTCCCTGTTTAGCATAGTTTTTAATGATAACCTGGCTTGTATGCATGGTGTCATGTATCATCAGTGGTATCCCAAAGGACATTTACAGTAGGGGTTAGATCGAACAATTTATGGGTAAAGTCCTAAATAAGGTCACCTGAGAAACCGAACTAAATAGATTACCTACAATCTTTCCTACAAAAGAGAAAGTCAAAGTGTTAGCGGCAAGGTTAATCTTACTTCCTCTCCAAACTCTGATCAAAAGACATGTGAGTTTTAAAATTTGTAACTGAATTTCACGTTTTTTGGTTGGCAAAATAAACGAAATCATTTGGGATCCATCTCGTTCTTTATTAATCTTCTGGGCTTGACCTTATGAATCTGATGTTGAATCACTCTGAAAACTCGTTGAATATTTCGGTAACGTTCACCGTCAGTTTGCCCTTACAGATGGATGTTGCGTCTTAAATAAAATATTTAATACTCAGCTCATTTATTATATTTTAAAATTAAATTTATTTTGCATGAGTGAAATGAGTTATGTCATTTAATCACTTGTCACATAAGTCATTTTGAAATTAAATGACAAATGACAGCCATTTGAAGAAATTATATCTTATAACCTATCTTGACATTTTGCGTAACTTAAAAGATTTTCTATTCCAGTTGTTGTGTATCACTGTAAATATTCTAGTTAACCTAATGCTGTGAGGGATGCATGCCGTTTATTTCCGATATTTCTTATGAGACTGAATTACACCGTACCTTTTATTACTACTGTAGGAATATTTTTATTGCTTCATTACAATGAATCTATGATCATTTAATATTTTTAAGTTCACGAGTAACGTGATTGATTGAAACGTACAATAATATAAACCAACAACAATCAATATTTATAAAAAAAATTTACGTTAAATCGTTTATTTCGTTTATTCCGTTTTATTTATTTAAGAGGAAAAAAAAAATGGGTTCAACATCCCCTAAAAATATGAAATCTTCTACCGCCAGTACATGTTTGTTTATATTTTACCCTAATTATAAAACTATAAATTTGATGAGTAATAAAAAATGAAAAATGGAAAAAAAGTTAGTAATAAGGTTAATAATGTCTTTATCTAATTTCAACGATCCCAAGTCTCCAGACCACTCTATATTGTGTAACTTACCTATGATAACAATATAAGAAATAAATATTCTATATTCTACTCACAAACATTATTGATCGGGAGTTTATTTATTGTACGGAATATTCCATTTTTTTTAAAAAAAATAAAATATTGATTGTTGTGAGTACGAAAATAGAATCATCGAAATTTATTGGATAAGAATTTGTCTACTATATCACATTTAATTATTTGTTCAACGTTCATTATACAATGGTAAAATTTTTTTTTTTTTTGGAAATTTCGAAAAACCATTTGGTGTTACGTTAAGACTGTACCAAAAAAAAAATAAAAATAAAAATAAATAAATAAATAAAAAATAAAAAATTTTGAACAATCATTCATATACATTTGCAAGACTAATTAGCAATCAATTTATTTGTTATTTTCATTATTCGTTCCGTGTATAAAAATTATTAATTTTGTCAAATTTATTTCCGGACAAGTCTACGCATTTTTTGTATGGAACTATAGTAATTAGTTATTTAATATAATAATGTTTGCAATATTATAGTTAACCATGATAAAAGAATTTTTTTTTTTTTTTCGCGCAATTTGTATTATATTAATGTAATTTCTTTTTTTATCTTTTATGGCTAAAGACTAGTTTGCAATTTAAAAATAATTTTAAAATGAACAATTTGCTCAATTACGACCCAATTTATTTACATAATATTATTTACAAATAATTGATAATTAGTGTTTGAATAAAAATTTCATGAAAAAACTAACAAGGCTAGTGAATACAAATAATTATAAAAAAACGAAACAAAATTTAAAAAATTTTGACTTGATAATTTAATAAGGAGATAATCGGAAATATATAAATAGTAGCTCAATTAATTATTTTTTGGTCATGCTATCATGATGAGTAAAATTTTGAAGTCCCAGAGATTTTAAATATAAAATGGCTGTTAAACCTTGTTTGTTGTACTTTCTTCGTCATCTTCTTTTTCAATAAAAGAAGAGAAAATGATAAATAATTAACATCACTTGACTTATTAGTTACATCATACATAACTTTTTCGTTATCATTTTCACGTCCATATCGTAACGAAGAACTAGTACAGTGCGTACAATTTTTATTGATTATAAAGGTATAATCATTTATTGTAAGACTTTCAATAGGAGGCATTCCGCTAGCAGAACTAGTATGATGAGTAGGATAAGGTGATTTTGGTATTTCTAAAAATTCAGTTGCACGTTTATTCTCATATTTCAACATCAACTCTTCGTTCTCATAAATTTTTATAAACTCTTTATTTACATCTCCATAAATTTTTTCTATTTCTGGCCTTTTCTTAGCATCTTTCTCCCAACATCCACGAATCAATTTTTGAAAAATCTCTGGTATTTCAGGTAACATTTGTGGTCTCTCACCCTTAATAATCTCCATTGCTAAATCCGAATCATGAAGCTGGTCATGAAATGGTGGGCACTCTGCAAAAATTTCCCACATCAGCATCCCCAAACTATAAATATCTGATGCCTTAGAATATTGTTTTTTGTCTATTAATTCTGGCGCCATATATGGTAAAACGCCATACGCATCAGCCAGGTTGTTCTCGGCTGGACCACACAATCCTAAATCGGAAATTAGGCATCGATTTGTAAGTAAGAGAATGTTCTTACTATGCAAGTCACGATGGATATAGTTATTGGAATGAATTCTATATAATGCAAAACATATTCTATATATAAAATATATTTTGTCTTTTAGGTTTATTCGGGACCGATGACTTTTTAAGTAATCATATAATGTTCCTTCTTTGTAATAATTCATTACCATAACGTAATTGTCACTATTTGGGAATTTTGTTATTCCGTAACACTTTACTAGATTACCAGATTTAATCTTAAAGTAATTATTAACCTGTAAAATATTATTTTATTTTTATATTCGTTATTATTATTATTATTTAATTAAGAGTAAAAGAATAAAATGTAGACGGAAATACTTACTTCGTCGTAAAATCTTTCACTAAATTCATTCAAAGATTTTAGTACGATATCAACAGTACCTTCATAAACAAATTGTCGTTTTTCTTCATCCCAATCCATAATCGGCCCCCTTTTCCATTTTGCAAGATGGATTTTACCAAATCCGCCTTTATTCAAATACGTTATATTTTCAAATTGATCAGGTGATATCCACTCCAATATAAATGGTGGTACAGATGCTTGCAATTGATTATGTTGAATAAATTTGTCAACGGTTTCATTACCAGAACTCCATTTGCTAAATTCACCTCTTAAGAATTCCCTTATGCAATTCTCACAGTATATTTCAGAGTAACGTGTCGAATTGCAATATTTGCATTTCATTGGTTTGCCTGATTTATCCCGCTCTTTATTTCTTTCTATATTTATTGCAAAGCGTATTTTACAGTATTCCTTTTCTTGTTCATTTAATATTTTATCCTCCTCCAACAACCGATTGAAATTTTTCGTTACTTCATTAATATAATTGGATTTTAAGTTAGCGAGATCAAATATCTCGTAATAGGTTTTCGTAGCCACAGTAGAAACGTAATTTATTGGAACATTTTTAATATTTATTTTCTTATTATTTTTTTTATATTTAATACTTATAATATTTACAATTATATATATATATATATATATGTATATATATATATATATATAACTATATAAAATGAGAATCAAGATTTGGTAGTAATAAAGGAATGCGAGGGTAAAAATCGGCCATGAATTGTTCAAGACTATAATACACATGTTGATGATCTTATTGATGTATATACCGAACATAAAATAAAATGACATTGAAAAAAGTCATGTTTTTAATCAAATAAACATCCAAAGAAAAATTGCTGTATATTTATAATGATCTGAGAGGACGAATTTAATTGTGGTACAAAAAAGTAAACGAGAAAATTTCCTTTGATGATGTTTCCTATCTTGTTTTATGGTGCATTTAGTGTTATAATGTTGTTCAGTTATAAAATTAATAATTTAATTAAAAATTAAAGAAGTCTTCATTGAATATTATATTTTTTTTTTGTGATAGGGGAAGAACGGAATGAACTTCCTGGGATTTAATAATCTTTAAAAAGAAGGTTCATAATAATTAATTTACTACATTGCATAAAAAATGGTCATGAATTTGTCAACTGACCTTTTGAACATGTGAATTTCTACTAGAATTTTTTCGTACAAAGTTTTTTCTTAGGTAACACAGACTTACCGGTTATGTAAATTTATATGGAACATTTTTTTTGTATACAACTAGGGATGTGTCACACACTTGAGTCGGGCTTAGCAAAATTTGCATATTCAACAATTGAACAATTGAAATAAAGTCTCATTTATTATTATTATTATTTATTTATTTTTTTTCTTTTAAATAAAGTTTATACAATTTTAATTTTCCATTTTTTTATAATTATTCTTGAATGTGTTACATTTATGGGAGGAAAAAATAGGAATCGAATTAAAGTTTGCAAATAAAATAAATTTTAAAATATACAACGTTAGCTTCTATAATTTAGGAATTCTTACGAAGAATGTTACTATATGTAAGTTTGTTCTTAAAACGGTAAATGTTTATTAATTTATTATGAAGTAGCTTCTGAAAGAAATGAATTATTTGAAGATGCATTTATTATACTGTATCTTTCTATAAGAAATATATAGAGCTTTCAGCTAAATTGTTTCGTTCACTTGTTCAAAGTTTAGGAATTAAAAATATTTTTTTAATTTTTTTAATTTTTTTGAAAACTGTTTACCGTTGCGATATTTCGGGCCGCAGTCTCTCTTTCTGACGATCTTATCTAAACTAGACATGTCATTGTAAAAGTGTAAGGTAAAAAGGCTTTTGAAAGAATAATCGGACAATAGCAGCTGACGATGAAATGCGATCATACAATAAACTGTGCTTTACCATAAAAATACAAACGCCCTAGCCCACATTATTATGATGTTGATCAGAATTATGGTGACTTGTCCATTATAATTCCAGAAGAATGTACTGTATTTTTAAGTACCGGAAAAACTAATTGAAAAAGAAGTAAGAAAATACTCTTCCTTAAGGAAGATACATAAGTTACACAATTAGAATCCAAATAATAAAGGACCTGTGACGTTAAAAAGAGGAAAAGTAATCTAGCATTTGCTAAGATGCTAAACAGCAGGAATTCCAATTTGTCCGATTTAAGGATTTCCTAACGTATATTGAGCAAGATGATACCTACATTAAGTGGTGTAAACACTCCTGATGATAAAAAAATTGAGCTTATTGTTGAAGGATCGTTAAGGAGAGTGTATAAATTATCGTTGCAAGTTTGAGCGGGAGGAGTTTTAATACAATAATTCTGACCAGGCATTACCAATCACGTGCACTGTAGTCAACGAATCCGGACCCAGAAAATTATATATAGGGGTCAGGTGATGAAAAAAATTTTTTACTATGAAGCTGCACGCATTTTTTCAGGGCCGGAATTATGATAATGTCAGTCGGTTACTATAATAGGAAATAAAATTCTGTCAAAATTATCTAAAGAAGGAAAGATTTTTTATGATTTTTTTAGTTCAAAATACGCAAACTCAAAACCTGACCCTTTTATATATTTTTCTGGGTCTTTCCCTAGCATGTAATATTTTTTTACAATTCACTATCCATTTATTCTATTTAAGAGTTTTTCATTAGATTATCCTATGAATCATATAAAGTAATCAATTCGGAAATTTGAAACCTGGCACGTTGAATTTCCAAACCACCTAATGCAAGGCCACTTATCAATAGTTATAACATATAGCACATGCCGATGACGCTAATATTTAACAAAATAAATGCAGTTATCATCATCAACATCTATTAGACATGGATTTGATATGATAGTTTTAGTATATTTTGTGAATGTAACAAAAGCATGTAAGAAAACAAATTCGCAACGTATCACCTTGCTTCCTTGTTTCTTTCAATATTTCTAGTAGCAGCTTACATTATTATTTTTCCGCAAATAAATTCTTTGTTTTTAATAATGATTGGTTGAAACATTTTATTGTTTATACAATCATTCGAGGTATTAAAGCAACTGATATTAAATAATCAAACAATGTCTTCCAAAGTAACGTGAACTGTTGAAATCATGCTAATACTCATTTGTAATATTTACAATTACAAACTAGAAGAAATCGATGGAAAGTGAAAAATGAGTAATAATGAATATCTTTTTTCAATTTCGTCTATTAGAACTCTGACCTGACCATGAACTCATTTATGGTACACAGATAGACAATCATATCCTAATCCTATAATTTTCCATTATTAATATTGTTTAGGAGATAGTACAATAGAATTGGTGTTTATAATTGTGAGTACTTCAGTTTATTGAATAAACATTTGTTTATAGTACAATTAATTAAATTGTTTATTTGTTTAACGTTCGTCCTAACTTTAGGATTTAAGAAGGAATTTGATGGCGAAAATCGGAATTTTTCGGGGCTATGTTAAATGAAATGGATTTACTAGGATTAGAACGAAATTTGCCTATCATTTATTATGTACACACGTAAATGTTGTGAGACTTGATACTTTGAATGTTGCACAAGAGTGTATTTTTTTTGAGTTTAGATTTGAATTTTCATGACGATCCAAAACTAATTTTTTTCTCACACACACACGGCAAAGTATTCCTTATTTAATTGTGAAGTAGTTCAAAATTAGGTTAATGTTATAAGATAAAAATTTTTAGAAAGTTAGGCCAGGACAATAGGATTTTCTGTTTAACAAGTTTTTATTGAAAAAGAGAAGGGGGGAATAATTTATAAATTTTTTTAAATTGTTTTTTACTATTAAAAATTTTGAAAATATGAGGGTTGCAACTTTTTTTAATTAAAATTACTTTGAAAAAACATTTCACGCCGTTTTTTCGTTAAATTAATTAAAAAAAAACGGTGCGAAACGTTTTTTTTAATGGGGGAGTGAAGAAAAAGTAAAAAAAAAAAAGAAATCTAAAAATTAGATTTCCATGGGAAGGGGATATTATATAAAAAATTTTTTTAAAATGTATAAGAAACCAAATTTTTGAGGGGTGAGGGGGAGAGGGAGGATTTAAAAAAAATTAATAAAATTTTGCTTTTTTTTGTGACTAAGTTTAAAATTTTTTGAGAGGAGGATTTTGTAAACAGAAAATCAAATTGGTCTGGCCTTATGTAAAATTAAAGATTTTGTAGATTTGTATTTTGCAAAGTTGATATACAGTAAATAAATTAATATAAGACCAATGAGTTTGAATTTGTTAATGTCAGACGAAGTTTTATCAAATTTTAACAAGATTTATTTATGTAAATTCAAATATACAGTGAACAAAATTGTATAAAAACTTACAAAGATATTTAATTTAATGAATCTCCCATATCAATCATCATAAATAAATTAAACTTTGAGAAAGCGAACTAAACTTTTAAAATAATATAATTTTGTAATAATTTAAGCGAAATGATTTGAACATACAGTATATATACTACATTATAAAAGATAATATATCGTAGTAAAAAATAGTAATAAAATGAGTAAAATACTTTAATGTTATTATTAATCGTGCTACGTAAATAGAACAAATAACTAGAAAATTAAATTTTTTAGGTATTAAACAATTTGCACGTGACAAATTTTAAATTTTGCCAATTTAAAAGTGAAGCTGCGCTGTTTAACAATTTAAGATTTTTTGTTACAAGAAGTCCGACTGCTCGAGAAGCCTTAAATATTAGTTCTTTTAATTGGTTCGCCCTTGTTTTTAATTTTAGCTTTTCCACTATTTTCTTTATTTCATTTTAATTAAATATAAATTAAAGATTCGTGAAATTGCAAGCAAAAAAAAAATTCAAACCATGAAAAATAATTTTACATACCATTGA